AGAGCTGATAATAGCAGTTGTATTATGATTCAAATGAAAGGTGCCAGTTTTTAATAAGCCACATATCTGAGCAGATTTGGTAGAGCTGACACGCGAGTTTTGTGAGTTGTTGTGTGGCTAAGATGGAAAGATCTGTGCCAATTAGTTAAAGTAACATAGAATGCAGTGCCACCCTGGACAATTTTAAGCAGAGTCCTATGAATCCCACCGCAGGGAAAGCCCAGTGTATTATGTCATTAATCTCAAAGAAGCAGGAGATGCAGTAAAGTTCAGGTCGCATGCGGGCCGGTGTGCCAAAAAAGAATTAGCTGCTCTGTCTGTGCTGATGCCTGCTCTGAACTGTGTGCGTGCACAAGTTCTCTCTTGTATTGCAGCAGTGCTAATGAAGATGTGCTTAGCTAGCAACCCCTGATCAGAGGAACCATGAGCTGGGGAGAGCAGGTCAGTTCACCTCAGGAGCTACCGGTATCCTGGAGCTGCAGAGTGACTCTTCAGACACTGATGAGAAGGGTATTATATAAAAAGGTATCCCGAATTGTGTGTATACTAAGAATGTGGTGAGTAGCTTGAGAGTCTTCAAAAGGTTTTTTTAAACTAAATAGTTTAGCACTGAGAAGGTGTAAACCAGAATTCTCATCATTATTGGATTCCCATTTCTGGGAACTAACCAAACACAGAATTTCTTACTCTGGAGAGTTTGCAGTCTGAATATTAACCAGAAAGAAATTTCTGGTAGAAAAGTTTGAAAGTGTACAAGAGTGAGGAAAAAAAATTCGGCTGTCAAAACTACATATTCTTTAGAGTAATACAGACCCTGACTGCTATGAGGTCTCTGTACTGCATGTCCAAAGGGTTTGCAATAGCAGATGATTACTGATGAGACTGATTTCTAATGCTGAAAGATATGGGTGGCTCCTGGCCTGTTATCCAATCTGTGCAGCAAGAGATCATAGAATCATAGAATGCTTCAGATTGGAAGGGACCTCTAGAGATCATCTAGGGCAACCCCCCTGCACACGCAGGGTCACCTAGAGCACGTGGCACAGGACTGCGTCCAAGCGGGTTTGGAAGATCTCCAGAGAAGGAGACTCCACAACCTCTCTGGGCAGCCTGTTCCAGGGCTCTGTCACCCTCACTGTAAGAAATTTTTTCTTAAGTTCCCATGGAACTTTTGATGCTTCAGGTTCTGGCCATTTCCTCTAGTTCTGTCAGTGGCCACCACTGAAAAGAGACCAGCACCATCCTCCTCACTGCCTCCCTTGAGGTA